CAGACATCTCGAAGTGATTGCCCCTCCTAAGAGTCCTGCAGGTACTCCAAACAACGGACCACCTACTGTTTGGCACTTCTTAAAGGTGCTCACTCAAACACACAGAAAGAAAGAAAAATGGAGAGAGGTCAGACACCGAGAGGAAGATGTACATAAAACTGATTGTGTGTTTGTCAACATCCCCAAACTCTCTCTCTCTCTCTCTCTCTCTCTCTCTCTCTCTCTCTCTCTCTCTCTCTCTCTCTCTCTCTCTCTCTCTCTCCAGCCACATACCATCACAAACCATCATTGAACACAAAAAATGCAGATGAGCAATATGATCGAAGGTGCAAAAGCAGCAAAACTGACTTTGTGTGTGTGTGTGCGCGTGTTGTTTTAAAAGGACCCCCAGATTCTCTCTCCGATTCCCTCCACGAGTTATCATAAACCATCCATAAAACAAAAAGAAGTAGAAATAGGCAAGATAGTAAAAAATGCAAGGTTGGCCACGTTTGTGTGGTTCACCGCCAAGTGGCCACTCACCCGTCTGCCGCCAAAGCAGCACACTTGCACATGCACATATATATATACTGCGTTCCTCCTCACCACCCCCATCTCCTCCATGGTCTCGCTTGCGAACAGACTCTCCAGTTTCCATTGTTCCCATTGTTCTTATTGTTCCCATTGTTCCACCTGCGTTGCTAGGTACACTACTCCTCTTGTTGTGTATCACCGACGACATCCGCGACATCGTCACTTGTCCGGGGATCAGCAACCTGTTTCTTTGTCTGCCCCGATTCTCTCTGTGCCTCCTCCACAGGTTGTTGCGGTTCCTTTGTTTCAAACGGCAATATCCGCTCCTATGACTCTTACAGACAGTCCAGCTGCCTGCAGGCAACCACCATCCCTACTCAGGATGCAGCCGCTGCCTAGAGTACACTCCCGACTCCAGGTATAGTCCCTACTCACGATGCAGCCCTAAATGTTGAGGGATTGGAACATGATCTGCCCGGATTGCAGTTGACCCCACAAGGCATAGACCACATGGGGCTCTGCAAATGGCTGACCAGCATTGTTCGGATGAACCACAATTTTGTGCTCCGCCACACGCAGACCACATGGGTGATCTGCAAATGACTGACCAGCAAACAACCCAACACAGTTTGGGCTTGCAACACCATCTGGGTTATCTGCAAATTGTTGGCCAGCATCCAACAAACCAGCTTGAGAACCTCACCAATCTCTGTGGTCTGATAGCAACTAATATCTGTCTTCACATTCTCCATTGCCCGTTTTATACACCATCAGACTTCCTTGCAACCGCCCTTCAGCTTGATGCTGATCTTTCCCAACGACAGCCAGAGGATTGTAATTATATCAGCGAAGGAGGCTTTACCATTGCTGTCCTACAAGTAGCAATGAGGGACCGTCAACTTGGACTACGCAATGCTCGAGCAGGTGAGTGGTTTAATCCTGCATCCCACATCTCTGCCTGCATTGTGTACGGCCCTGGCCATTACATGGCCATTGTACATGCCTCTGACCACTGTGGGACAACGGCACCATGGTCCATGCCATGATTGATGTCACTGATTTCTTACAAAATGATGCTGTTTTCTTGCCACAACAAACTGTCCGGAATCTCTTTTATGTTGAAGATCATTCCTCTGGCCCCATGCTACAGCAAGACAATGCACCAACACTCTGCAACCTTCTCCTTTGCACAACCACAAACACTGTTACACTCGGCTGTAGCCGCCATCGTCTCTGTCACAATCACTACRATGACATGGTTTCTGCATCCATGTGTGCAGAGGACTGTCCCACCGTTCCTGACTGCAGGCACCCTCYGCATCMGGACACTATATRTCCAYTTTGYGGCCATGGGCGCTATACTGAATGCATGCTCTTTTGTGGTGACCGTTCTTCTTTCATTTTGGCCTGCAATCGACATGCCATTTGTCGGGGGTGTATGGCGGGCATGCTCAATGTCACCCGTCGTGGCAATTGTTGCACTGAGAATGCTTAGCTAGGTCTTCTATGTGTTCATCCATGTCATCCTTACAATGTATGTCCTCACTGTCGTCAAGGAAAGACTCATTCTTGAGCCTTTTCTTATCCTCTTTTGCCTTCATCTTAACTACACACTCCATACTTTCCCTTACTTTCCCTTTATCATTCTTTGTTTGCCTGCTCTCCATCTCTCCTCCCTGTGTTTATCCCCTCCCCCTTCACTCTGCCTCTTTCTCACAGCGTACAAGTGGACTGTTATGGCACACGGGGATGGGGGCAGCTTGCGCTCAACTTCATCAACGTGGGGAGCCTTGTACGTGAGAGGCACGGTGAAAAGGGAGTCAAAAGAAGAATGAGTAAAATGAAGGCTTCACTGTGCCCTTCATGTTTGTCTTGGTTTTTTTTTTTTTTTTTTTTTTGCCGTTTGTTTTGCAATCAGACTCACTTTCTTTCGCACCCCACATGCATGTAAACAGGTAGCGCAGCAAACTGGCGACAAGCGCCCACTCAAAACTCAGAGATACAGTAACCAAGAACACAGTTCCGATACGAGCTCACTTCAGATGGCTATGGCGCATTAGCGCCTGTACATCTCTCTGTTCGTCACTGCGCCCCACTCAGCTGTTCACACACCCTCAACGTAGGATCACCCTGGATATCCCACACGCGTCACGCTGTACACACACGCTACACTCTTCTATCAGCTATGGCGGCTATGGCCGCTACTACCCCTATTGCTATGGCTAAGCTCTCCTTCTCGCCCACTTCGTCTTCGGGCATACTGCAGACCACCTCGCACAAGTCGCTGTGGCAGCGCTTCCGCATGGCTTAGGCAGGAATGAATGAATGGCTGGGCGCATGCCCCTGGTGCACACAGTCCCACACGGTACTTGCTTGACTGGACTGAGACTGGCTGGGACTGGGTACCGCTGACTCAGCACCGGTGGACTTCGCCACGTGCCCACTTGCCTCGGTCTACTGTGGGCAGTACCCGAAAGGCCACTTCCGGACCTTTCGGAAGACCGTGGACTTGGCCTTTCGGTACTGTACCAGCTACGACCTTGACCCTTCAGGACTGTAGCAGCTACGACTTTTAGAACTCACTAAGACTCCTATCCGACAGGTCTACAGATCGAACCCCTATAACCTACAGGCCTACGACAACCTACCAACTGTGGGGAAAGATACAGGTTGTGGGTTCAACTCCTGGAGTCGGCACAGATACTGTACACAGGTAGGGTAAAATCTAGGGATTGAGCCCTGGGATCTGCATCGGCTACTGCAAGGTGGAATCCGTTTCAGTTTTGCAAATTGCGCTCTTTTAGTTCATAGTTATGTGACAATATATACACCAGCCTGTACGTAGGGGCGTTCGGGCCGGCGTTCAGGGCCCGTCCCCGTAGTCCATAAAGGGATGGAGGGCAAAAGGCACTTACCTAAGACAGTCTGTGTGTGTGTGTGTGCGTGTGTGTCTGTGATGATGTGTGTGAACACATGGTGCTGAGGCCTCAGCACGTAATAAATACGTGCTCCACTTCATCGTCACCTCACAAGAAAAAGCGACCATAGATTCCCCTCACTAGTCCGACATCGTTCCCAATGTCATTCGATTTCCACATAAGCATGACTCCTCCTACCACGAGGTACTTCTTTCAGAAATGTAGGATAATGTGTGTGAACACGTATTGCAGACACCACTGCACAGTAAAAACCATGCACCTTACCATCACAACACTTCAGGAGGAGAATAGTGGAGTCGAGTCCAAAGGCAAGGAAGGGACAACAACGAAACACACGGGCCACAGACAACTAGACAACACATAGGCTGGAGGGCATGGGGGACGAGGGAGGGCAGACAACACACAAGCAACAGACACGGCAGGCACCAAAAAAAGACCAAGGGCTGGAGGGCACAAGGGATATAGGACGGCAGATAACAACAAGCACACAAGGCAGGCAAATCAGAAAAGAAGTAAAGTCCATAAAAGTTTCAAGGACCGAAAAAAATAAAGACTGATGATGAAAGATTGTTTCGCCAGAGTTGCACCGACTCATCAGGAGGCTGAACCCTCGACAATCTGCGGAATGCCCGTATTGATGGTTTGTGTCATGCACCCTTTGACCCTTGTTGAAGGCAGACTGTCCCCAACTGGAACATAGCAGCGGGCAGCAACCCTGCGGAGCACCAGACAACGCAGTACTCAGGAAGCACCAGGACTTGCAGCACGGCAACCAAGCAGGACTCGCAACACGGCTGCACAACGCCAGAGACGACTGCAAGGAAAGACACGGCACACAGGACTCGCAGCACGGCAACCAAGCAGTGAAGCACCAGGCAACACCACCAAGACAACCACACTGCAAGGGACGACAGGGCGAGCGGACACGCAGCAGAGCAACCATGCTGTGAAGCACAAGGCAACACCAACACGGCAACCGAACTACACGGCACGCAGGCAAAGGACACGGAAACACGACCAGCGGAAGGGCAGCGAGGCAGCGAAGCAGCGAAGCGCAAGGCAACACCGCAACCTGGCCACACCACACAGCGAAGACAGCAGCTTGCCAAGAATGACCTGTGAGGCAAGCGGGACGGGCAGCAAGGCAGTGGCGGAGCGCAGACGAGGCCGTCCACACATCCAACACGAAGCAAAGCAGCACATCACCTACTCACATCACGGGTGAACCCCGCAGACTGTTGGTTCCCACCACCCACTGAGCCAGGGAGACACTCCGACGAGCATCCGTCATCACCTACAGGCAACACAGACATCCCGAACTGAGCGGCCCCCATAAGAGTGCAGTAGGCACTCCAAACGAGGAACCACCGACTGTTTGGCACCACTGAAGGGTGCTCAGTTTGGGTAAGCAAAAACTTTTAGAAAAAGATCAGGGGGAGGACAGACAACAACAGGAAAACAGACAAACATAAAACTGATTGTGCGTGTGTGTGTGTGTGTGTGTGTGTGTGTGTGTGTGTGTGTGTGTGTGTGTGTGTGTGTGTGCAGGGGTAGCGTGCAGATTGACCTGGCATCAGGACAGTCAACGTCATCTAGCACAAACTCCAACGACTACTACTATGCCCATGGCTGGCTGATGTGGATTGCGTTCGGCGTACTGTTTCCAGCTGGCGTTTTCTTGGCGCGCTATGGGAAGCGCTGGGATCCGATGTGGTTCAATGCTCACGTCGCCATTCAACTCTTGGCTGTGGTCGTCGCGACTGCGGGATTTATCATTGCTGTCAAACAGTTTGACGCATTGGATGAAACACATGGGCGGCTAGGAATTGCTGTCATGCTCCTGGTCTGGATGCAGCCCCTTATTGGACTAGCAAGGCCTCACAAGGGGACACAGCAGCGGGTGCCCTGGTATTTCGTCCACTGGCTATTCGGAACAGGCGCTGTATTCATGGGCCTCGTGGATATCTTCTACGGAATCGACTTGCTTGACAATAACATTGGTGTTTCCAAGGTAAGCGTCAGCCCCCCTGATAAGCTCATGGGCTGCCTCCCTCCCCGCGCCGAATTTCGCCCTAGCGCACCCCCTACTCCCCAATCATATATGATTATTATGATATGATCGATGAAACGATTGGTCCGTTTGTTGGTGGTTTGATTTGATCGACTTTGCCCCGCTACCTCCTGAAAAATCACGCCAAGCCCGTCTAATAAATTCTGCTGACACAGGAGAATCCTGCAGCCATCGGATTTCCAATCCAACACACCAACTGACAAGAAGGCAGACCTTATTAAAAAAAACGAAGAAAAACAGACCTCGGGGTAACCATCAAAGTTGCTTAAAAAAAAAAAAAAAAAAAAAAAAAAGAAAGTTGCTTTCCCTATGAAAAAAACGAAGGTAGTGGTTGTTTTAACCTCCATCGTTGTTTTCCGTGTGAAATAGTATCAATGCTCATCATCAATGTATGCCAGGATCCTTCCTTCTCCCTCGCTATCAGGAAGGAAAGAAGTAATTTTGCCCCCTTCCTGTCTCTCTTTCTGACTCTCTATTGAATCTGTGTACTACCGGCCTTGGCCTCAGCTTGCTGACCTTCTCAGTCCCATGAGCCTGTGTGAGGTTTCCCTGATCTTTTCCTTCTGCCTGCTCGGGAAAGAGTGGGATGGAATTGCCTCTCGGAGTGATGACACTCAGAGATTGGCATCACGACCTTAGGATTTAGGGTTTAGGGGTTCAGGGCATACTTGTGGTGCATACGTGAGGTGCACTGTGCAGTGCGGTGCGCTGATCGCAGATGCACGAATCAAGAAAAAAGAAAAAGGATACACGCTGGAGAGAGAGAGAGAGAGAGAGAGAGAGAGAGAGAGAGAGAGAGAGAGAGAGAGAGAGAGAGAGAGAGAGAGAGAGAGAGAGAGAG